CACACAAACACACACACACACACATACGCATGCACACACACACCCACACCTCACAATGATGTGGCTCGTTTTTCCACCAGTTCAGCATCTGAGGGGAGAACCTGACTCCTGACCCCAAAGGACAGCAGAGGTCAGCCAGCCAGTGGCCTTGAATTGTCTTATGCCTGCATCAAGACTACCCCTGATACCTCCACAGAACTCCCCCTGCATCTCATCAGTTTATCCACAGCCAAATGAGGAGCCTGTGCTTATCTTTGAGATGGGATGCTAACAGGATGCATAATCAAGTTTCACTAATAGTTTTCCAAATGTCATGTGTATTTCCCAGCAACCTGGTTAACTCTACCTGGGGAAAAAAAAATATCTGCGATTCAATTGACATAAGTTAAAACTTCACTAAAATAACCATAACAGAGTGTATTTATCTTTTATGGTGATACTAGCAGTACCATGTAGCTCAGCTGTATTGCTTTACAGGTGAGAAGAGATATGAGACTCTGTTTTCACAATACATTCAGAGAAATTTATGGACTTTAAAGGGTAAGCACCACGTGAAAAAAACATCAAACATTTCAGCAAAATGAAAGAAATTTTCCTATTATGAGAAAGCAATGCATCCATCTTCCAGACCTGTAAAGCCAATTTTATCCAGTGAAGGAGGGCTTAGGTCAGCAGCCTCTCTCCACCTTGTTTATGAGCAGCTGCTGCTCTGGCCAATCAGGTGTCTTGTGTCTATCTGCACAGATACTGTGTCTTCCACTTAGGGAAGCCCTGAGTTTGCCTTCTACATGCTGGGTATTCACAACAGACTGACTTCTTTATTTCTTAGTTTGATGATTTATATTTTCTTAACCAGGATGATTATTAATATTCATCCTCTTAAGGGAAAACAAAATGCCTGTGTGTGGGGAGGGCTGAGGGTGAAATCATGAGTAGAATGGGCCATTTGACACAAAGAAACCAGACCAGCTTAGGGTTAATTACAAGTCCTCTGTCCCCTTAATAAACGTGATCGCAATAAATCACTCCCATTTTGTTTTTCCTGTTTCCTCATTTGTTGTGCTGTGTCTGTGTACCTTGTGACCTTGGGAGTTTCAAAAACTGTTACATGATTGGTTTACGCTAAAAAAAAAAAAAAAAAAAAAAACTCTTCACATGATGCGTAGGCTAATTGTGATTGCATATGGCCGCAGAATGAAAGTGTTCCGCTGTTGGGCTGATGACTTCATTTTTGAGTGAGTACTTCTTAGTCATTCTCTCTGTTTGAAAACAAAATGCTAAAGAACTGTTTAGTATTCAGGGCGTAGCATTTGACATTTTTTCTAAAGGCTGACAATCTGAAATCTAATATTATATGCTGATTAAATTATATTGATGTTGGCACACAAACACAGGACTACTACAGTGAAAAGTGGCATAGCTGCTTGCGACAACAACAACAACAACAAAAAGCTAGGGCTAGGCATTTCCGTCACTACTTTTTTCTGTCTGGTTTATTTAACATTGGTTTAAGTGTTTTTTCTGGGCTTTCTGCTTAAACCCAGAGCATGGTCAGCCATGCTTCCAGAAGTTTGTATGGAAAAGGAGGAGATGGGATGTGAAGTGGGGGGGGGCTCACCATGATGAATGGGTAGCTCCTGCAGTGAATGGGGTACAAAGCAGCCCCCTTTTTAACAGTGTGAGATTTAAGGACCACCCGGACAGCTGGCCTGCCATTGAGCTCATAAAGAGGCATGCATTTAGTGATGCCTAGACTGTACTTTATATGCATGGGGGTTAGCACCTTTGTAAATTGCCTGTGCAAGTACTGTATGCATGTGGAATTGTGCTTTGTTTCTAACATGTGTAATTGAATTACACTAAATTTCCAAATTATCATTGCGTGCATCCTTCTTTATGCCACGTATCATCCAAAATGTGATGTAAATGCTCATATATCTTCTCACAACATCCCGGGATGCCGGGAACAAATAGAAAATTGGGTAAAGTGTTTGATGGTGAGGGTCGTGACCACAAGGCCTCTTTGACTTTGCACTCGACTTTGAGCTTGCTAGCTGCCAGATGACGCTGCTCCAGGAGGATGATTTCAAAATTATGATTGGGCACAGGAGAGTAGAGACAAGATAAAGAGTCAAGCTTGATATTTTTGGAACCAAGATGATTGGACAGGACAAAATTAAGCCTTGCAAAGCTGAGGGACTAACTGCTTGCCTGGAGTTCAGCCTCTTGGCAGTAGAGTGGTACTCCTGGTCGTGATAGTCCATCCAGGTGAGGAATGGGAGACTGGATCCTTCCAGCTAATGCCTCCACTTCTTTAAGGCAAGCTCTACCAGTAATACCTCCTGGTCATCGAAATAATAACAATCATTAAAGTTGTCGTCTGCTGCTTGCTGGGTGAAGACAGCCCCAGCATTAGATTAATTAGTGCTGAGGATTTGGGAGCATGAGGATGGGAGCAGTGGTGAACAAGTCCTTGGGATGATGGAAGGCGGAGGCTGCTTAGGGGGTCCAGTCAAAGGGAGTCTTGATGGACCTTGAATGAACTTCCAAAAAAAATGAGCAAACCCAAGAAACCTCTGTCGTTCCACAGGGTCCTAAGGGTCTAGCTAACACAGCACAGCCTGTACTTTTTTGCGATCCATCTTCAAAGCACCCTGAGTCACAGTGAAGCCTAGAAAAAGAGGGCAATGGTGCGATGGAATTCCCATTTTTCTGATTTCGAGTTGTAGTGATTCTCCAAAATTATTGAATAACCAGGCGGATGTGGCAGGTATACTCCACAAGGGTTGGAAAGAAAACAAGAATATCATCTGAGTAGTCATAGATTAACTGGGAGACCATGTCTCAGAAGACATCATTGATGAAATTATGTAAAACGATGGGGACGTTAGCGAGCTCCAGTTATTCGTAGTGGCCTGAGGGGTGTTCAACATTGTCTTCCATAGATCTCCTTCCCGAATGTGCACTGGGTGTTGTATGTGTCCAGCTTGGTAAAGTAATGACAGCTCTGGAGCTTGGAGAGTGCCAAGCCCATCAGAGGAAGAGCTTAACGATTCTTGATAGTAATAGAGTTGAGTCCCCCATAATCAATGCAGGGGCATAGAGACCCATCATTTTTAGTCATGAAGAGGAAATCCACTCCGGCTGGTGAGGAAGAAACTTGAATGATTCCAGAAGCCAGGGACTGATTTATATACTCCTCCAGAGGCTGGGACACCTCTGTTGTTAGGGACTACAGCCAACCCTTGGGGGGCAATGTCCTGGATAGTAGGTTAATGGTACAAGTTCAGGGTCTATGTGATGGAAGTGACGTAGCTTGAACCTTACTCAATGCCTGACGGAGAGCCTAGTAGATAACAGGAACTTGTCTTGGGTTCGTTGGCTCATACTTGTCGTCAGTGGAAGGAAGTGTAATTGGACTCTAGGCTGAGCAAAGACAGGGGTGGGAACAAGACAAAGTCCACTCTTGGATGGAACCCAATGGCCCTTCCAGCACCATAAAAGGTTCAGCATTAAGGATTGCGTAAAATGTTCAGCATTAAGCCCTTTCCTCTTCACCATCATCATAGATGTACTGACTGACAAAGTGAGGAGGATCGCTCCCTGGCAAATGATATTTGCAGATGATGTGGTCCACTGTGTGGAAGACAAAGCCTAAATTTGGTGGGATCTACAGGACTGGTGTGTTGTCCTGGAAGAAAAGGGAAGAAGGTACCTGCAAAGAAGACAGAATACATGCTGCCAATGAAGGGGTGAAGCAGGAATGAGGCTTAGGGCCAACAGTTTACCAACTGTGACAGAATTCAAATATCTGGGAAGTACAATTCAGGTTGATGGTGGGGCAGACAGCAAGGTCAATAGACAAACATAAGTGGGCTGGAACAACTCTGGGAAGATGAGCGGGATCTAATGTGACAAGAAGGTTCCAAACAGGGTGAAGGGGAAACTACATGGCGTTGTTTTGCGTCCAGCAATGATGTATGGCATGGACACAATGCCTCTGACTAAGAGGGAGGCAAAACTGGATGAAAATGAGCAGATGCATATTAGATTTGATGAGGAAGGACAGGGAGAGAAACGAGGACTTGCTAAGTAGGTTGGGTACTGGGGAGCTGAGCAGGAGGTGCAAACAGGCAAGACTATGGGGTACAGACATGTGAGGAAGAGAGAAGAGGACAACGTGCAGAATATCTATGGAGATGGCATTACCTAGTAGATGGAAGAGTGGAAGACTAATGAGGAGATGGAAGGAGAATGTGATGGAAGACGTGTCGGAAGTAAAAGTAACTGAGGAGGACACCCAAGATAGTCGTGTATGGAAGAGAAAGGTCCACATGGCACCAATCCCATGCACATAAGTGGGTCAAGCTGGAAGAAGAAGAAGCACATAGCAAAAAGTGTTAGAAATGTTACAATTTATTTTAAATACTGGTTATTGTCCCTATTACCTTACATAACCTTACCCCCAACCCTAACCCTATCCACAACCCTAAACCCTACATCCTAGCCCTAACCCTTTGTTTTGTTGTGTTATATGTTGTTCTGTGTCATGCTATGTTTTGTTGCGTGTTGTGCTGCATTGTTTTGTTGTATTGTATTGTGCCATGTTGCTTTGTTGAGTTGTGTTGCTATGTCTTTTGTAGTGTTTGTCTTGTTATGCAGTGCTATGTTGCTGTATTGCGTTGTTTTTTTGGTGTGTTACTGCATTATGTTGTGCTGCGTTGTGTTGTGTGTTTCAGTAATGGACCAAAATAACTTCACTACAATCCTAATCCATCAACTCCAAATCGACTGGAATGCGCTGATGAAAGAATCTCAAATGGATGGTAAATGGACTGCATTTATATAGCACGTTTCTAGTCAGATGACACAAAGGGCTTTACAATTATACCTCTCATTCACCCTGATGGCAGAGGCTGCCGTGCAAGGTGCCAACTTGCACATCAGGAGCAGAGTGGGGTTCAGGATCTTGCTCAAGGACACATACTTCCACACTTCTCTGGAGGACCCGGGGATCGAACCAGGAATCTTCCGATTCCTAGCCTAGACGCTCTACCTCCTGAGCCATGCCGCCTGTGCTGATCAAAAAATTTTTGAAATTTTTTTGCAGTGGAGTTCCAAAGCAGGTATAGGGGACGGACCAGACTATCAAGCACACCACATGGTCGCTGTACCATTTACAGTTCGGGAGTTATTTCAGGATCATCAATAGAATTCTAATTATTGTTCCTATAACCTAGCCCTAACCCTAACCCTACCCTAACTGTAAACCCACACCCTAACCCCAATTCTAACCCTAACCATAACTCTAACCTTTTTTGCCACTGTGTTGTGTGTTGTATTGTGTTGCTGTGTTTTTTGTGCTGTGGTGTGACCGAGTTGGTGTGCCATTGAGTTGTGTAATGTAATTTAATGTTCTGTTGAAGTGAAGACAGGTAAATTGGGCCATCAGCTAAAATAGGCCAGAGAAGGTTGGAGTGTCATGCCTCTTTAAATCTTAACAGCCAATCACAGTAAATAAATTTAAATTGTTGATACGGTGGAACTTGATGTATTCTGACTGTTTTGACTGGTCTGAGGTTACTAAGATAAGTGGGGCAATTCCTAATATTTTTACGACTCTTTCAAAATTTTGCCAAAAAGTGGCCTAGTTTACCTGACTTCACCCTATGTTTTGTTATGATGTGTTGTGTTCTGTTGTTGTATTAAGATTCTACTAAGCATGGATGGTTCTTATATTCATTTTACTGATTATACTCTTAACTACTGGTTGTTTGTTGTGCTGTTTGGTTGGTGACAAAATTCTCGGAATTATTTGAATCGCAGAGGGTGGAAATGTTCATCATTGCTCAGCAATTAACATATTTCGGTTCTTTTTTATGTAATTCACTCACTAAGTTTGGCAGCCAGTGAGCAGCATTATAAATCATATTCAAATGATATAGCGCCCGCCAGAATGTATAAAGAAGTTTGGGGCAAAATTGCCTCCATTGGGAGAGAGCGGGAACCAAAGTCCTATTTTAAACTTAAAATCATAATGCGTTCTGCACTGCCTCTGTAGTTGAAATGACTTGCGTGCATAAACGACCGCGCGCCATCCTGCTGGAGAGATTTCACGACGCAGGGAGCAGTTTTGCCGTCTTTAACCACAATGTTAATCCACAAGCCTTCTCCCCAAAGCCTGCTGCTTTGCGGTGTTTACCAAGTGTTTAGGCGTGCAATCTGCATGCCTAACCGAGCATGATGAAACTGTGTCACTTCCCATTTGAGTGCGAGGCGCGCTCCCTCGGCGGACGCCGCTTACCACAGATGCAGCGGGGAACAAGGATTTAGAGTGCATCCCGCAGATATTGACAGACAGCTTAAAGAGATCACACTTACCTTGTATCAGTCACTGCACATGCTTTGGGTGTTTTCTAAGTAAGGGAACGTCTACAAATTTCAGAAAATGGCAACTTTTTATATCAGAATTGATCCCTTTCAGGGATGTTATTTCAGGGTATTTTGCTGGATAATTTCTGAGGATTGTGGAACAGGGAACAAGGATTTGCACTTTGTACCATAATCCATGGAATATTTCAATTATGAATCTACCTAAGTGCAATGCATATATGCATGATTATTATTATTACAACCCCAATTCCAAAATGGTTGGGATGAAGTGTAAATTGTGAATAAAATCAAAATGCAATGACTTTCAGATCACGAGTCAATGTGTTATTTACAATAGAACACAGATAACATTTCAAATGTTGAAACTGAGACATTTTACATTTTCATCCACAAAATGAGCTTATTTCAAATTTTCTGGCTGCAACAGGTCTCAAAAAAGTTGGGACACGGGCAAAAAAAGGGCTGAAAAAGCAATTAATATATAAGCTGAAAGAATATTTAGCAAGTAATTAAGTTAACTGGCATCAGGTGTGTAACATGATTGGCTATAAAAGGGAAGTCTTAGAGAGGCTGAGTCTCAGAAGTAAAGATGGCCAGAGGCTCTCCAACCTGTGAAGGCTTGCATAAAAAAATTGTGGAATACTTTAAAAACAATGTCCCTCAACGTCAAATTGCAAAGGCTTTGAAGGACTCATCATCGACAGGGCATAACATCATCAAAAGATTCAGAGAAACTGGAAAAATCTCTGTGCGTAAGGGACAAGGCCGAAGACCTTAACTGGATGCCCGTGATCTTCGGACCCTCAGACACCACTGTATCACTCACCGGCATGATTCCGTCATTGGCATTACTAAATGGGCCCAGGAATACTTCAAGAAACCACTGTCTGTAAACACAGTCCGCCGTGCCATCCACAGATGCCACCTAAAACTATCATGCAAAAAGGAAGCCATTTTTGAGCATGATCCAGAAGCGCCGCCGTGTTCTGTGGGCCGAGGCTCATTTAAAATGGACTGTAGCAAAGTGGCAAAGTTTCCTGTGGTCAGATGAGTCCAAATTTGACATTCTTGTTGGAAATCATGGTCGTCGTGTCCTCCGGGCTAAAGAAGAGAAAGACCACCCCTCCTATTATCAGCGTTCAGTTCAAAAGCCAGCATCTCTGATGGTATGGGGATGCATTAGTGCATATGGTGTGGGACACTTGCATGTTTTAAAAACCACCATGAATGCTAAAAGATATATAAAGGTCTTAGAGCAACATATGCTCCCCTCCAGATGACATGTATTCCAGGGAAGGCCTTGTGTATTTCAGCAAGACAATGCAAAACCACATACTGCAGCTATTACAACAGCATGGCTTCGTAGTAGAAGAGTCCATGTGCTGAACTGGCCTGCCTGCAGCCCTGATCTTTCACCGATTGAAAACATTTGGCGCATAATTAAACTAAAAGTCCATCAAAGGAGACCCAAAACACTCCAGCAGCGGGAAGCCTGTATTAAACAAGAGTGGAATCAAATTCCAATGGCTAAACTCAAGAAACTTGTCTCCTCAATGCCCAGACGCCTCCACTCTGTGTTAAAAAGAAGAGGGGATGCAACACCATGGTAAACAGGTCCCTGTCCCAACTTTTTTGAGACCTGTAGCAGCCATCAAATTTGAAATGAGCTCATTTTGTGGATAAAATTGTAAAATTTCTCAGTTTCAACATTTGCTATGTTATCTCTGTTCTATTGTGAATAAAATACTGGCTGGTGTGATTTGAACATCATTGCGTTTTGATTTTATTCACAATTTACACTTTGTCCCAACTATTTTGGAATTGTTGTATTATTATTATTATTATTATCATCATCATCAGCATCCTCATCATCATAATGTGCAAATACCTAGCTAGAAGATAAGAAGCTTGCTGCCCGTGTGATCTATTCCATCCAGGGGTAGGACATTACCGAACTTATTTCAAAAAGACATGGGAATCTGAGCCATGCTGTGAAGAGACACAGGCAACCAATGCTTTTTATGACGTCAAAATACAGTATTCATGTTGTTTTTTCGGAATTAATTTTATTTTCAGAAATAAGCTATCCGTGTATACAAACCATTGGTTCATAATGTTGAATCTGTGATAGCCATCACAACCACCCCTCAATTAATGAGTTTTGTCAAATCAAAATGCTTTGAAATTGAAACTCCACCCTGTTGTTTGTGTAAGCCACAGTGAAATGCATCATGTTTTGGACACTTTTTGTTATTTTGTTTAGTGATGTTTATGACAGTTTCTTCCTCTGAGTTGGACAGGAATGGAGAGTGAAGAGTGGCTTGTGTTCTGAATGCTTTGTGTCCCTCTGTCGTTGAGCTGGATGGGTTCCCGGCCTCAGCCTTCAAAGCGCTCTCAGATGGGAAACGCATATTTATTCTGGGACCATTGTTTATACTGTATTATTTTCTTTGAATAGTAAATACAGTATGTCTTATCATATTGTTTACCTTTCTCCAGAAATAATTGTCATCATATTCACAATCACCCACAGATCCTCCCTCCTCATGATGATGATCATCATCATCATCATTGCATTATCTTCAAACTTTGCTTTTCTTCTTGTTCTTTGTATTATTTTATGTGACTCTCTCCAGTTCTTGATGTTATATTGGGTGTTTTAGGTCATGTTTCAGCTACTTCCTGCAGCTCAGACGCATAACACTTTCCGCAAGATATGAGCTGTTCCGAGGATGGCCGATAGCTGTGCTCTTCCGATGATGTCTGCTACTCCTAACTTCTCTTTCCAGGTGTTTGCTATTTTTGATGTCATCCCAAGTGCACCGATGACCATAGGTACTATGCTCACTTTGGCAGCCAGGTGGATGCGCTTCACTTTGAACACAAGTTCTTGGTACCCGTCCACCTTCTCATTTTCTGTCGTCACAATGTCCTGATTAGCTGGTATTGCAATGTCTATTGATATCCATTTCTTGGTTCTTTTCTGTAGGAATGTTATGTCTGGTCTATTGTGTTTCAGCTTCTTGTTTTTGTAGACAGTCATATCCCAAGTGATTCTCACTTCATCAATCTCAAAAACTGGCAAGGGTTGGTGTTCATACCATCTAACTGTAGACTCTAATCCATTATTATTATGATTATTATGATGATGATGATTATTATTATTTTATGGAAGCGAAAAGAAACTGCATTTTTGCATGCAAATAAAGTAAGCGCAAATGTAGTTCTACTAATGACTCAGCAGTGACCTATTGGCGATTGGCAGTGTTCAGTATTTAGCTGTACCTTCTCTAAAGGTTGTGTTTGTAAATGGCGCATCTGGGGTGATGAGTGTGACTTCGGACTGTGTTCTGTGGAGTGACTGGGCCAGGGCGCCCCTCCACTAGGGTTTGATGTCCTAGTTATCCTGAGCACTGAGGCTGTCCATCTCTGGGGGCAACAGTGGGGTCATGAATACTCTGGTCCTTTACTTGGAGTTGGGTGTCACATGGTAAAATCTCACAGAGACTACTTCAGCATAGCAGGGCAGCAGTACTGCGGCTCACTACCACCTACACTTCCAGTGAGCACCATAATTCATTGGATATGACACGTTTTTGGTTCCATTGGCTAAGTCAGTCACAGGATCTGAATTCAAGTCAAATAGTCCCAGAAACATATAATAACTGAAGATGGCTGCAC